GAACTGTGCAGCCCTAATGGAGCTTGCAATCCCGCCTTCGCTAAGATACATAGGAAGTAGGGCCTTTTTGGACTGCACTGCCTTGAAGAGGCTCGCCAAGATGCCAGGCAAGCACAAATGGCGAGGAGTCTACGCAGAAGAAAATGCTTTCGCCATTTGTCCTGATATGAGACGGCCACCCTGGCTACATATGATCCCGGACATGGGATATACCTCAGGTCTGGGGTGAAGACGAGCCTCTCGGATCACAGCTGTCGCAGGCCCAGTAACATCCATCATGGGCGCGCGCCTTAGCTCGAGTCCAGAGTAGGCCAGAAGCCACAGCAGGCCAAACTCATGAATAGGGCTGAGGATCACGGCAAAAGCAGCCTTCCTTCAGCTTACCTCTCTGCAGGAGGTTCTTACTCCTGCACTGCATAGCGCTATGCGCCTTTGCAGGCAGTCCGCACTTTCGAGCAAAGTACAAGCAGAGGAAAAGCAACACATCGAAGGACATATGCCCTTGACCAAGGAGGGTAACTTGTCTAGCCCAAGCGACACCGAGAGCGGTCGACAGATGCCAGAGAGCAACGGGGAGAGGGCTCTCCAGACCTGCCAAAATCAACAATACTTTTGCAGCGGGAATGGTGGATAGACACACCGCTAACAAGCTACGGCAAAGGAAATGCGCAAACACTAAGTAAGACCTCTTTTCGCCATTCGCAATACAGTGAGCCAGTAGGAATGAGAGCCTTAGCTCCTCGTTCCCAACAGGCGGGTGGTAGAGAGTGGCAATGGAGGATGCCCAGGGGGAACCTTAGTTCCCTCTGTTGATGTCCGACATTTCCAATTTTGTACAAAGGGTACAGATACCATGCTAGCATAGGTCCTATGTTTCACCTGTTTCACACGGGCCCTGCACGCAACAGACCACTTTTCGCAATGCTGCAGCATTTCACAGAGTTAGGGGACACCCCGTTTTGGCACCTCCGGGTGCCGAAGGGTGCTGAGATGACCTCCCTTCGGGGGGGGGACGCCTTTCGCACCCTTACCTGCAGGCCTTCGCCGTTCGCTATGACCGCCGCCTTCTAAATCACCAACTAGTATGCCACTGGACTTGCGAGCGCAACCAGTTGAATGGGTTGTGCCACAAGAAAGGCTTTTTCCACGGCATGAAGCATAGCAACTATTGATCCTTTTGACATGGATACAACCGGCGAAGGAGCATAGCTATGCTCCTGACCTGCATCGTGACCAGGTTTTTGCCACACTGTGCAGTGGCCGCTGGTCACTAGTAATTGGGAAGTAAAGTCCATTTGAAGACTTTTGGAAGTTTTGCTAGAGCATAAACCCGCGCTGCCATGCTCTTCGTTCGCGAATTCAGGCCCATTGATAGAGAATAGTCTTCGTTTCACCTGTTTCACCTTAGCACAGAGGAAAGACTACAAGATGGTGGAGACTCGGCCTGTGGGCTCTGTTTTGTTTGTTTGGTTTGTTGTTGGGTTGTTTTTGTCCTTTTCTCCACCATCTGATTGTTTTTCCTTTCCTTCAATGATGACCTGGGCACCATGCCCACACGGCGTCCGTACTCGTGGAAAAAAAAGCTGAAGGAATTGCCAACCAGTTTAGCAGCTCCACCAAGTTTGGGCGAATTTACCCTGCGAGAGAGTCCCTCCCCAGGTGAGCTGCCGTCACAATCCATTGCCAGCGACTTGGCTCTAGGTTGCCTCAGCTCTACAGGGATAACCACATTAACACTAACGCAGGGCTTTACAGTCATAGGAGCACACGCTTGTGACAACTGTCACCTGCTCAAGAAAGTTGACCTTTCAAACACACAAATAGAAGAAATACAAGAATTTACCTTTGTGCACTGCACGAGCCTCAAAGAAGTTCGTCTCCCGATGACTCTCCACACCATTAGAGTCAAGGCCTTCATGAACTGTGCGGCCCTGCCCGAACTTGCCATACCACCCTCACTCAAATACATAGCGAGTAGAGCTTTCTTGGACTGCACTGCGTTCAGGAGACTTGTCAAGTTGCCAGGCCGGCGCAAATGGCGAGGGGTTTACGCTGAAGAAAATGCTTTCGCTATATGCCCAGACATGAGATGGCCGCCATGGCTACACATGATTCCGGACACGGGATATGTCTCTGGTTTAGCCTGAAGTAACCCTGTCTGGACGCAGCAGTTTGTGGCCTTCCTGTAATCCATCTAGTCTGGGTGCGAGCCTTACCTCGGGTCCGGCCAGGTCAACACTCGCCCTAGTGCACCGTACAATCCATACGTACATGCTTCTATAAGCTAAGGGAGTGGAGGGCAACTGACGCTTCCGCACTAGGGCCGGTCGAAACTACACATTCCTACCCTGCAACTCTAAGGCCTAGACCCAGCCCTCGCTGCAGTGAAGAAGGGCCGGTGACACAGACCTGCACCCTCCTTACACTGGCAGGTGAGAAGCTGCCCATCGCGGTAGTCCGAATGCACATGCCTGCAGGATAGGGACGGCTGCGTGCGTGAGCTGCCAGCAGCTGCAAACTGTGGATTTGTCCCAAACGTGTGTCATTGAACTTTTGGGCTCAACTTTTGCGTACTGCTCACAGCTGCAAGAACTCAGCCTTTCCAAAAAAAATTTTCGAATCATTGAGCAAGAAGCCTTTCTCAAATGTACCTCGCTGCAAGAAGTCTGCGTCTCATCATCCCTGCTTTACATCGCGAGGCGTGCTTTTGCAGGTTGCACGCAGCTTCGAGCAGTTCGTAAAAAAGGGAAAAGCAAAACATGGCGAGGTACCTATGCCCGGCTCAATGCATTTGACAAATGCGAGCAATTAGACAAGCCCCAGTGGCTCCGATTCCTGCCGCCAAATGCCAACGACCAATGGAGAGAAGACTTCCAAGAAGCCATACCCTAGACTGGCAATGTTCTGACGACAGTGGGGATGGACTGCTACTCTGCTGTTTCGATTTTGCGAGCCAGGCTTAAGAAAGCTCAGGCAAAGCCATCATTTCGGCCTCACCATCGACATTTCAGTGAGCCTACAGGAATGAGAGCCTTAGCTTTCGCTCCCAAGAGGCGGGTGGTAGAGAATGGTAATGGAAGGTTGCTAGGGGGAACCTTAGTTCTCTTTGCAGCGGCCATGCCATGACCATTGCTGTACAAAGAGGCACAAGTACCATGCTAGGATAGGTCCACGTTTCACTGGTTTCACACGGGCCTTGCGCGTAACAGGAGAATGCTTGCGCGTTCGCACCTCTCTTTCTTTCAGGAACAGAGTGTGGATCAGAGTTTGTGATGCAAAAGTGGGATCTGCCAGGCATTCCGGCAGACATGACGAATTTCCATGCCTGGAGAAGTGATCTTTGATGTATGAACTTCGGGCTAGAGATAGACCTAGCCAGGATCTTGCAGGCACTGGAGAATCATCTACAAGAGCTACAAGCCATGCACAATCCCTTCTACCACAGAGATTTCAAGAAGGTGAGGAGTGTGCACAACCGCTTGCAGGACTTAGCTCTACTATGTCAGAGGCCAGAACCACAAGGCTACGTGAGTGCAGCCATAACCTTCATGAAGTGGGAAGAAAGCGGAAGATCCGACACATTCTTCATGCCAGAAGATCTCACAGAAGTTGGTCAAGATGACATGGGGGAAGAGCAGGAAGAAGCAGGACATGAAGCAGAAGTCACAAGAAATGACGCAGAAGAAAAGAGGAAGTTGCAGTGGATGATGAAGACAATGAAGAAGAAGGTGAAGAAAAAGAAAACTGTGAGGCGCAGTCAAGAGCAGCCTCAAAGGGGGTCTGAGTGCAGCGACTATGAGCAGTGGACAAGAGACCATCTTCTACTGCCTGACTCGGACGAAGAACCCCTTGATTACAATCCAGCACCAGGATCAATGGCGCTACGAATCATCAGTCCAAGACCGAGGGATAGCGCTGGAAGGTTGATCCAAACTTCAGGAAACGAAGCTGGAGATGGAAGCCAGGAGTGGTTGATGAAGAACCACGTAGACTGAAGCAATGAGCAAGCCTGAAAAGAGCAGGCATGCTCAAGGCGGGGTGTTCAAGTTTAGCATGGACACTCATAGCAAAGATGACACGCACATGAAGTGTACATCTAACCTCGCTACAAGTGGCTTGAGACGATAAAAAGGCCGCACTCCGACGTTTGAGAGATCACGACACTCTCTTCAGTGCAAAGGCGGCGAAAAACCTGCACCACAAGAGCCAATCGAAAAACCAGCTTCGAACCTCAAATGTCTGTTGCTGAGTCCACGCAGCGCACTTGCAACAGGTTCCTTTTCTTTGTGTTTCAGCCTGCACGTCAGCCTTTGTGTTGCGAACGTGCGGAGTTCACAATAAATCGCCCGGTTCTGATTGCTCCACATGAGCTTCCAAATCCCCCTCGCAGTTTTTTGTTTGTTTTGTCTCACGACTTCAGCCGTTACAATTCCGTGGTTGCCAATGCTTGGCTTCTCTTTCAATGCGCAACAAGCGGCGCTTCTGTTGCAACAAACCGAAACGATCGCCGTGCAACCAAGCGGCGAGGAATTCCGCCCGTTTTGAATGACATTGCAAAAAATATCTTTTTGGTGCCTGTACTGAGGTTTTCCCAGGTTTGTGTATGTTGTGTGTCATATTGTCGGACTGGACTGTGTTCACCGATGGTGTACTGTTGCGCGCAGCCACCCGAGGCATCGTCACAGCGATTATTGTTGAGATCACAGTGACACTACAACCACAACCACATTCAACATGACATCAGTTCAATTCAAGAGCAAAGATTTGAGCGCACAGGGCTTGAAAGGGGCTGATAAAGATAGATAGATAGATAGATTGATTGATTGATTGATTGATTGATAGATAGATAGATAGAGAGATAGATAAAGAGATAGATAGATGGATGGATAGATAGATAGATTGATATTGATATTGAAATTGATATTAATATTTATATTGATATTAATATCAATATTAATATTGATATTGATATTGATTGGTTTTGATTTTTTTAATGTAATAGCTTGACAACGCGATCACAACGATATTTGCATTAAAGATGAATGCGCTGGCGGCATGACGGACAAATGCAAGGTGCCTTTCCTGATATGCTACATTGTACCAGTAACACGACAGTTCGGTATGTTTTTTTTACTGTTTGGTTCAAAGCCCGTTTTGAGCTTTGCACTTTGCAGACATTGCTTGCCGCTGCAGCTGTTGGAGCTTTGGCCGGCGCTTGCCCCAGTAAGATTGCTGCATCGTGGCTATGCAATTGATGAGATCTTGTTCCTTTCCAATGGCGAGAATCTGCTGCAAATCCGCTGTTTCAGGAGCAATTGCGGCTGCTGGTGTTGTTTTTGCAACCAAACGGAAGAAACTGAAGAACCAGGCCGGTTAGATATCTTGGGCCTACTGTTGTGCCGAGTCATGCGAGTCACGACAGCTTTTAGTCATTGCAAGGCCTTTCTGAAAGCCGAGTTGGAGCTTGAGCAGAAACTCCGAAATGTGAGAGTTGTACCTGCTCTGGCCTCAGTGACCCTCAGTTTTGATAAGTGTTGATGGATTGAAAGTGGCATGAAGAGGTTTTGGGTTTGGATGGCGTGGAGAAGGCAAGTGTGTCCCTTTTTTGGTGGGATATTATAGCATCGTTTCGAGATGCGAGGCAGATTCTTTGGCCCGTGCTTTGGTCGAGGGAGGCTTCTTTGTGATAGAGGCCAATGTCAGTTGTGAGAAGAAACCAACCGAACAAACTTTTCAAATGCAAGACTTGAGCAATTCAAAAGTGGCCCAAAGTCGCTTGTCGCATCATATGCTCAAGACTTGACATCTGTGAGTTGGTCGGCAAGTTGCGAAGGTTATTTTCCGACCTTCAGCCGAAGATTCGCTCAGACTGATGAGCTCCACAGGTGCATTCGTAGGCCTGCTTTTTTTTTGAACCGGAGACATGACAGATCACAGAGAGAGAGAGAGAGAGAAGGATCAAAAGTAGTAAAGTGTAGGAAAGTAGAGGGCTGTCCTGCAGAGGAGCTGGAACTGTTCTGACTGCCCAGCAGGCTGCTTCAGCTGGAGCCACAGGTTGCACTCATTAAAGACAACCAACGTTTTTGATAGGTTTTCAGGTTTACTGCAGTTAACATGTTACGATTGAAGTGTTTTGGACGTTCACTGTGGCTCAAACATGAGCCATTGGCAGCCATTGGACCAGCCTTAACGGAGTCCTCCACGGAGCCCTTAACAGAGTCCTGTCGTTCTGTCACATTCTCAGTGGTTTGGACGAGTCACTTCAGCATCGCTGAGAACCTGCTAGAATTTGCTGTCACTCGTTGAATGCCGTGGAGGTCATGAGTGGCCCGGGAAAGGGTCAGGGCGATTTGGATACAGTGGAGTTGCGCGCCAAGCATTGGCGAATCTTCTTAAGGAATACACATGCATTTACAGCAATGAGAAGATTTCAATCATTCATTTCTCTCTCTCTCTCTCTATATGGAATTCTCAGAGATTGTTTTGTTGAGTTCTGCATAATAGCAGTGTTGGCTTATATAGACCTGACTGTCCCAGGCTGCGCCATGCCAGTGGAGCATCTGCTCAGGCACCACAGACTCAAGATGCGTGCCACATGTTTATTTGTTGAACTAACAATTATATAGATAACAAAACCTTAGAAGTGGAACACGTGGCAAACAACTTTCTGGAAAGGTTGTGCAGGAAAACTTGCTTGAACGTGTTCTTCTGGATTGAGTAACTGTTGCTACGCTGAGATCTATTTGTTTGGCGCGACATTGACCAGCTACAAGACTCCAGATGGCGTCGAGCGAAGCATGCCTGAATTTGCCTCGAGTTGGGTCAGAGAGAATGCTCAGAAGATGCTGAGGAATATTTGTGTCACCTGGAGCAATCTTTGACGGGAAGAAGGCCCCGGAAGTCAATGTTTGAGCCTCCTAAGAGATTTGCTGTTGCCTCTGGTAACAAGAGGCCATTCGAGGCGGTGTGCCGCTCGTATTCCCACAGTTTGGCCAGCCTGACAAGGCTGGGGCGGGGCAGTTTTCTCTTTGGGAACTTGTCCAAATTCTGTTCCAGTGCTGTCGGAGGCAATGGCACAGCATGGATTTGCGCGCAGCAGTCATTGGACGCTAGCATCTGTTGAGGACCAATGGCTAGATTCTTTGTTGATCTGCGAACTTGGCTCCTTTATTTTCGGCCAAAGAGTGCAGTTTCAGTTCCTGGCTCTAGCAAAGATTATTCTAAATGCAAGAAAGGGTTGTGGTGCTCCCATTGCAGGACAATATTGAGGGTGCCTGGTCCTGAGCACAGACTTGTCATGCATTGACTCATGCATGTTGGAAGCTTTGCGGTTGCTGCACTTTCCACTTAGTCCACTGCAACTTTGACCCTCGTAGATAGTGAGGCCAAGTTGTGATGTGGGTGACTGTGCACGTCAACCACTTTTGCTATCTTATGTCAAATCGAGAGGCAACTCGTGCGCTTTGGAATCATAGCTTTGCGCTGGAGTTCGTCGTCTCTCTTACTGCCGCCAACCACTGAGCACAGAAAACGGCCCGCCCAGCTGGATGAGTTTTCCCACGTGTCCTGAGCAGCATTTTGGCAGCTCACATACAATATTTCTTCCTGAGGCCTCCTTGAAAATGACCCTGAAGGTGCTACTTTTGCATGGAAACCATTTAACCACAGTACATATGTACATATGTATATATATATATAGATGTATCCATGTATACTTTTGCTTTTGATCCTTGGATCTTCCAAGCTTTTGCCGATTGGTCAAACGGAACCTAAATAATCAAAGCTCTCTGAGCCAATGACCTTGAAGGTGACAAATACCAGTGAAGCAAGAGCCTCAAGAGCTTCGCTGTGCTGGTTTGTAGACAAGCATGGATTCAGCTTGCCTACAGTTACACTTGTTCTTTTATGCACGGATTAAAATCGAACAGCAGTTGCAGGAGAATTCCTTTCAACTCAAAATCCATCGACTTGCTGGAACGAGGCCCCCTTTAGCTTCCAGACGCTGCTCCACACGTACTTTCGAGTCTCTGACATTGGTGAGGCATGACCACGAGTGAAGTGTTTGAGTCTGGAGAAAGATTACCAAGTGCGAAGATGAGAAAAAGCTTCTGGCAGAGTTGGACGGACGCTTTTGACAGAATACAGTCGCCTGGCTCGCGGAGCTAGCTTGTTCTCGATTCGCACAGGTTGGTGTACGTGGCCTTGGAGGCCGCACATATTTGGACAAGGCCGCTTGGCTTACATAGGTTGCGCAGTTTGCTTGGTCTCGACTTTTGGTGTCCCAGGCGAATGGAGGGAAGGAGCTCCAAGTCTCCGACGTGGCACTTCCATCCTTCACTGATAGGGTCTATGTTGGGGGCAAGGAGCAATTGTACAGCGCTTCGAAATGAAAATGCAAAATGAAGCATGTCATTGTGCAGGGATGAGAAGTAACATTGTGGTTGCTTGGATGACTATTCTCGGCAGGATTTGGCTAGCGGCAATGCAGCCAAGGACATGACGTATTTCAGCAAGAAAGCGTTCTTGTTTGCAGGCTTCTAGGCCTTTAAAGAGCATTCTTGTTTTTAGTGGATTGGAAGACGCTTACTTGAGATTCCTCTTGCTTCCAGGATGTCCTCATCATCCAGAAGGGTGGAGTTCGCTTCCCAAGGAACAGAGAGAAATGACGCTTTCAAGAAGCTACGAACGGGGCTCCTGGCATCGCTACTAGGAGCATTCTTACTAGTAACAAGAAGCTACGTTCGGAGCTTGATGAAGGGTTCTGATTGTGTTTAGTTTGACGGAAATTGGGGACCTGGTCTTTGACGTCGGTCTTAAGCTGAGGTGTCCTGTGCAATTTGCAACGAGGGCTCCATCGCGGGCGTTCCAAAGCCCATAGAAATCGTGGTGTCTGCCTGACTGCTGTTATGCTGTGTTATGCTGTTATGCTGTGTCCTTAGTCTTCAGAGTGCTGTTGGTAGTATTTGCAACTTGCCCTAATGTGTGAGCCACCTGGAAACAAGTTTAGTTTTTGAAGCAACTCAGCTAGCAGCTAGAGGCTTTCCTGCCAACTCATCTTACGTCAGCCAGGTGGAATCCTTACGAGGAGAAGTCGCCAGGTGATTTGCCACCACCAGCATTTAAGGAGTGTGGCTTTGACTCAGTAGTAGGTTGGAGGCAATCGCTATTATATAGGTTCCTTTTCTCTTCCACACAGCCAGCGTTGCTGTGCCTTTTTGTGTCCCCATGGTCTGGCAGGAATTTGTTTGTGTGGAACCTGGTCTCATTGGGCAGATGAAAGACGACTTTGTCGAAATGCATGCAGGATTCTCAGGGCACTCAACTCTCAAGGTGAAAAAATACTGGAATGCCTCCACAGACCGAGCTGACTCAGGAATTGCCTGCTGGTGCGGTTGCCTGCATTTCTCAGAAGATCATTCCAACTTCATGAGCCAATTCGGCTTTTTAATGCAGATCGGAGAATGCAACAAAGAGTTGCAGACTCTGCACTATTGTTTCATTGATGCCAGAACATCGGCACAGAAAGCAGACTCATATCTTTTGAACTTTTGTGCGCAGAGACCATGGATTGCGACAGAAACATGCTCCGATTTGCATTTGTGCACTAAGCACAGCTTGAACCAATATGCAACAACTTTGCAAGACACCGACTCAAGGCCGTCAAAGCCGGGGCAAAGTTCATCACTACTCTAGGCCTGAACAAAGAGGCTTGCTGCGTTCAAGTGGATTTGAATCGTTTTCAGTGCATTCCCACGGAAAGCTATCTTTTTCAAGCTTTTCTTGTTGCCCCCCGCAATCCTGCTTTTTCTGCAAAAGAGCGGAAGGTGGCGGACTGGTGCCTGGATCATGCCATCCCTGCGAGAATCCCAGACTTTTTAGACTTTCTAAGGTCATATACCACTAGCTTTATATATGAGGTCATACCTGGGGTTGCTTCACCTTCTGAAGTTGAGCAAGCAAGTAGGCACATCGTCCGAAAGAATGCTGAACTGTGCTTGTTGGTCTGTCGGCTTGTCGCATGAGTGGGTGCTCGATTGTTCTCTCCAGGAATGGTTTCACCATGTTGAAATTCTTCCCTGCAGAGGCTTTTGGGGACTTTCTTTTAAACTATTCCTTAGCAGCCTTAGCCTTTGCGAGTTTTGCGTTTGGTTTCTGCGTTCTTGAGACGGCATTTGCGAGGCAAACGGTGGTCCGGCAGGTCTAAAGGCGGACGGTGCTGTTTATAGCTGGATTCCCCATTAGCCTACATATAAGGTTTTAGCTGAGCACAGAAAGACACATCACTCAGCACATTGTACAAACGGAGGACAAGATCTATCTTCATGCATCCTTTGTGATCAGGGACTAGAACCAATATCAGCCTGACAAGCGATGCACAACCAGGGCTGGAAGCTTCATCCACATTGTCCTCATATTGATAGTAAAACATATAGCCATATAGCTGAAGATCTCTGCGAAGGAAGCTGCCGCCGAACTCAATCAAACCTTTTCCCTTGTTGAATGCAAGCCATCGAGCAGCCATTTCTTCAGAAGAGGAAAAACTCATAATACACTTTAGACTCTAGTAGACTCAGGTAGACTTGTTGATGAGATTCCGCTGCTATTTTTGTGAACCAATCAGCGCATGATTGAACATGGCCAATCTGCCAGGCAGTCGCTACACCATATCCACACCTGACCTTTTATCCAACGGGTGGAGTCTCCGAAAAGAACCTCCAGGAGCTGGGCTGAGCTTCGCTCAAAAGAGCTTCGCTAAGAGCGGTAAGGGCATGACTTGAGCTAAAGAGTAGGGAAGTAGACACTAATAGCTATGGCCTCCATGGCCTCGAACCTAATGGTGATGGCCTCCAACATAATGGCCATCGGCCTTCAACCTAATACTTTACTCTTTTCTTCATTAGCTTGACTTCAAGTGGACTTCATAGCGTTGCGCACGTTGACCTTCTTGTAGTGCCGCTGTTCTCAGAGTTCAGTTTGCCAAAAGTCTTTGCGGGAATGTACAAGGACTACCTTTCCTTGAGCCAGGCAGGTGGCCCTCTACATCAAAGGCATTTGAGCAGCGTCACAAATCATGGCCAGGTTGTTGCCGTTGGTGGAACGTGGATAGCTCCTCAGGCTGGATGCTTTGAAGCTTTGAATTGGTCTTCCTTTTCTGAACTCAAAGCAGCTTCTTTACATGTACTGCAAAAATGTGAATCTGAATGTGTGTGTCATGTCCTTTTCTGGGTCGAAGCACTTAGGATTTGATCGCATCGGAGAACTTTGAGCTTTTGAGTACACTCGCACACAGTACCCTCCAGGTGGAAATTGGAAACGTCGGAGTCACATAGACCGGAATTACTCTAAAACTCTTCTTGAAAAATTGCCCCAGATTGTCCTACTTGAGCTCAATTTTGACCAGGTCGTGCGGGGTAACGTGGGGCTGGCAACAAGTGGAAAAGTTGCGCACTTGCTAATCAGCTGTCCTTTCTGCCCTTTCTTTTCGTTTTTGTGTAATTTGCTGTGCATCAATGTCTTTCCGCAATTTTTCACGAGATTGCGGTTTCTTTCCATGCTGCCAAGGTTGCAACTGCATCCATCGACCACACAGCTCGACTTTGGAGCATTGAAACTGGAGAGTGTCTCATGTCCTTCCTGGGACATGAGGACCAGGCACCCAACAGTTCAACAGCACAGATATCTACGGTTCAACTTCCTATATAATAAGACATTGCGGTTTATTAGGCAGTTTTAAGTTTGTCCATGTAAGAATCAGAGTTGGAGTCGCTGCAGGTGATGAGCGTTGCTTTTTCCCCTGACGGTGAACTCCTGGCAACAGCCTCCACTGCCCCTCGTCTGTGCAGCACAACAAAAGTGCTTTGCTTTAGTCAAACCTTATTGGCAAACCTTTGGGCTTTCTTGCGTGTAGTGCTCTTTGTAGCAGATTCATTCTTCTCATCCAGGACAAGACAGCAAAATTGTGGCTCTGCGACAGTGGACAGTGTGCCGTGACTTGTGCCAATGGCTCGGGCAGACCACCTTGCTGTGTCTCAACTATCTTATCGCTTTTTCTCAGGTTGGCCATTCAGGCCCTGTATACACGGCCTTTTTTTCGCCAGATGGCTCTATCCCAAGCAGCTTCAAGCAGGACTGTGCTTTTTGCAGTGACTTGAAGCACTTTGACCCCTGAGGCTGCAACTTGCTAACTGCTTCGCATGACCGGACCGTCAAGATCTGGGATACAACGACGCTTGACTCGACTCGACCTTTGCGCTCTGATTCGAACTGACAAGTGTTGCTGTTCTCAGGACTGGTGAGTGTGAAAGGACGATTGCCAGGACTTTGCCTCAGCTAAGCCTAGAAAGTCCCAGAGGGCCTAGAACAAAATGAATCTCGGAACCAAATGAATAGTGCGAGAGTGAACTATCCTGCGTCCGTTCCCTAGTAGCAGGTGATCGGGTTGTTTGTTTAGCTTTTAATTAAGCAGGCGCCTACTTAATTGAGCAAAAGCAGGCAAAACAAAAGGAACGTGGATACCTTTTTTGTTTGCTGGCCGTCGGGGCCAAGGTTTGATCGCACAATCCATAGTGCTGTCTACTCCCCAGACGGCAAGATGATAGCAACCGCTACAGATGATCATGAGGCTGAGCTGCTGCTGCCATGACTTTTCACCTTTCATTGTTTGTGTATTGTTTTGTGAAGAGCTGCAAGAGCGTGAGCTCGATCAAGTCTCACTTCATGTTCTTGGAGTCTTGGAGGTGATCATTTGGAATGCTGCAAAGCTTCAGCAGGTGGAATTCTCCAATCGTTGTTTTGAATTGTTTCGATGTGTTCCTGATCGCATGCTCCAGGTGCAGAAAATATCAAACCATTCGCAGAAGGTACACAACTTACCAAGTCACCTCGCAATCACACATTCAAAGCGACCAATGTAAAAAAATGCAAGTCAGAGTGCGAAGGTTTTCAGCGTGCAGTTCTCGCATGACAACGCACTTCTACTCACGGCTTCCATGGACGGATCTGCAAGGACACGCCATACTGTGATTGCAATGGCTGCGGTGACACGCCATGGTTCCTGGAATCAGTTTGATTTGAGTTTGTCTAAGGATTGCTGAAATTGAGACTGGAAGTGACAAGATTGTGATCACAGGCCAACAACCGTTGTGCAAAGAAGTGTTGCCTGTAGATGGTTTATAGGTCACAATGATTGGTTGCGATGTGCTGCTTTCTCGCCTGATAGCCTCAAAGCTGCAAGCTTAACGGATGTTGTTTGCACCACTGTTACATGCCTTGCGTGGCTCTTTTGCAGCAATTTCGGCGTTGAGGTAGTGACTGCTTCGGGCGATGGGAAGGTACAAACTTCGAATTTTCGCTTCGAAAAGAGGTGGACAACTTGCCAAAGCCACAGCTGGTGCGCACCAGGCAAAGACTTGGAGCGCAGTGACAGGGAAGCCTTTGTTGGATTTGGCTGGTCATGCGGACTGGCAGGATTCTTAGGTGAACGTTGTCAATTTCAACCTTTGGCTGTATGCCAGTCACATGATGCAAATGATGCTTACTGTAGTCTTGCATCACTGACATTACCTGAAAGGTATGTTGCACGAAGACCAAGATAGAGATAATTCCAATATATACATCACAAAACAGCTTGGTGTTCTTTTCCGAGGCTTCGAATGGCGGCGTTCTCGGTCGATGGTGGCTTGGCCGTGCACCCGGTTCTGAGACATTTGATGGAGACAGGTTTAGGACATGCAGTATGGACATCACCTCACTGACCAAGATTGTTACAGCATCCAAAGATGGTACTGCCAAAGCCAGCTTCTCAGCACATCAAGCACTGACTGGATGCTGAATCTGCAGTGGCCTTGAGGTATGGAGGGCTGATAATGGCGAGTGTGCCTGGGATTGCGTCCAGTGTCTCAGCACTCTCAGGAAACTTGCATCTCATTCGCAACTTTAGGCATCCGAACACTGGATGGACACAAAGCTTGGGTGAGATGGGCAGCCTTTTCCCCTGGGCAGAACCGATCCTTGAAAGATATTTGGAGTTCTCGATGATTTTGTACTGTACTTTGTTCAAATTTTGCCAAGACGAGCTCTTGGCATCATGCCAAGGAAGACTGTCTGTGGGCTTCGGTGGACTTTGACAATCTGAGGGTGAGAGTTTTGAGCCTTCAGGACCAGACACATCCATACACGCAAGAGCCACTTTCTGCCGATTGCGCAAGGACGACAATGGAACTCCTGCTTTGAATCGGGAGTGACGCGAGTGACGCAACAGCCTTTGTCATCTGAAGAACTTCGGCAGGTGACATTGAGCAAGGCCGTAAAAGCTGAGCAAGGCCATCGATTTGCAAAAAGACATCTCGCTTGGCCGCTGCAGTTGCTCAATTGCTTGTTTGGTGATTTTGTTTTCAAAACTGCGTCAGCATCAATTTAGACCTTTCTTGATGGCAGTTCTGGTTCAAGGCCTTTCTGCTGCACGGGGTTTGTCAGTTGAGCCGTTAAGCTGTTAAATTGGAGACTTTAGCAGCGCATTGGTCCGACTACAACCCCGTGTGGCTGTTCTGTGTGCTTCATACGTTTCGCTATGGTCATACCAATACCAGCCATGGGGGTAATGTGGCTTGGATGAAGATGGGGCGAAAGAATTGTTGTTTTGGTTTCTCATGAAAAGTCTAATTGAATCTCGAAGAGCTCAGGGGTGGGCCACCAACGCCGTATGCATTGGCAAGGTGGGAGGCCAGCTTTGAGGTTAATTTGCCTTCTGCTAAACTTGAAGGCGGCCATGGGTGCAATGCGTGCTGATCTTGCAGAGCACCTTTCTCAGCTAATGAAAGGCAGCCTGTTCTCCAATTCTGTGAGCTGTCTTTTGGGAGCAAGCCGCTCAGGCCTTTGCTGCTTAGCTCGAATGGCCAGCGCACTAAGTTTTGGAGCATCGTTGATGGTGATCCTTTTTTAAAGAGGGATTCACACGGTGCGCATGCATTCCTCGCCTTTTCTTGCACATTCGCATAGAGTCGAGGTGGTTTTCCTAGACATCATGGGTGGATTCCTCATGGCGTTGGGCTTAGGCTTTTCACAATGCGGCAAAGACCGTAAGAGCCGATCCTTTCTATTCAGGAGCGATTTGTCACCTGAGGCCATCATGATAGCCGTGGGCATATGTGCAATACGTGAGGACCAGTGTCCGATGACTCCATGACCCATGTAAACAAGACGCTACTAGGAACAAAGGGCATCGCTACTAGGAGCAAGGACGCTAATACGCTACTAGGGGCTCCTTACTACTAGGAACAAGAAGCTACTAGGGTGAAGGCCATCGCTAGGAGGCCATCGCTACTAGTAACAAGAAGCTACTAGTAGCGATGTCGCCTCACCGCCTTGCAGGACTTCAATGTCCAGCTTCTTTGCTATTGGGGCTTCATGTGCTTGATCAATGGCGACTTTGCAGAAATGGTCACTGTGTTGATTCTCCTGGTCGCCCGTGGTTTCTGGATGCACAGACTTTGTAGAATATGAAGTTGCATCACAGACATTTTCTGCCTTTGTACTGTTTTGCTCGACGCGTGCAAAACTTGGTCCGAAACTCCGCGAGACTCAGGTTCGTTTGACCTCGTGAAGCTGATTGATGTACTAGCATCGAATCTCAGATGTGTGCTTGCTGCAGCTTCTCACTGACTATGATTCAATTGAATCAGATTGACTCAAATTGAATCACCAAATCACCAAACTTCAAAGGCTTTTGTAGTACCTGCAGGTAAAGTCACACCTGCCGCTTTTCTCCACAAAAATGCCGCAAGAGTGCGACCATTGACTTCGTGAAGTCTTATACAAAGTGCCGGGATTTGAGAAGAAAATTGCTTTGCCAAAGTGCTAGGTATAACATATACAATGGCATCGCCTTGTCTATTCCTGTAACAACATTGCTCGGAGTTCCGCTGGCATGGTGGCACGCTCAGAAACGCCTGTTGCCACGAAGAGACTTGTCCAACGATCTGCATCACTTGGATCCTAGGTGGATCTACCGAGACTGGTCTAATGGTCCTGACCTCAAACGAACGTAGAATACCCTGTCTCTCATTTCCGAAATATATGAACGACATTGTGATGACCACCTGGTTGAGTGTGATTAGGTGGAGACGCTGATTTGCCTGGTCCTGCAGGTGGCCGCTATCAAGGTGCGGAAGAAGATATGAAATTATTTCTTCACATGCATCTACAGAAGACCTTTTCAACGCCACACTCCTGTGGCATCAAATTGAGCAAGGCATCTGTGAACCACATGGACTTGTGATTTTGCGTCTGAAGGCCAAGGTGAGGGACCTACGGAGCGTTCGAGCCTCTTAGGAGCTCCCCAAGCAGGACTGGACACTCACCATCCACGAGTTCCATTGAGAAAAGTTGGCCTTGTAAACATCATGTTGAGGTGTCAACTCATTAAGCATGTAAGCAGAGAAAGGGAGGAGCAGCAGAGAAGCACATCACTAGGATGCAGCATACACAACCCACACTCTTCATCGATGCATAGCTGCAGAGGCCCTGCACAATTCACAGCTTTTGAAGGTGCCTGTGGCAAGCTTTGTGGGCATGGGAATCGGAACATCCTGTGCTTTGAGTTGGGCAGCACTGGTAGACTTTCAAACATGGCAGGTCAGGGTCGACGGCTAGGATCAGGCTGAGTAGAGCTTAGAAGTTTGTTCTTTCCCACTCCCAAAGGAGTGCTGAAGCGTCCTGAGGTCTCAAAATAGCCATGTGTCGAGCACTGTCACTAACATTTAATAGATCAAATGAATTTGTGAGGCTTGTTTCTGATTCGCCTGCATCGCAGCCGCTTGCTGTGCTGGACGTTCCCACACAACATATCTGAAACAGAGCCAGTGACCATGATTCGTGAGGCAAGCAACCCGACAATTTGAGATTTGTCGCCTGTTGCTTGCCAACAACACTCGCAGCTTTTTGCCTCATCAAACAATTACCAAAGGGTAAGGGTAGATTCCCAAGTGCTTAACCGTTACTATAACACGTGTTATTTCCTGCTACCTTGATGGCATGCCTTGCTTGCAAAAGCTGACAAGGCAGGGAATGCACTCTTGATTATATGAATTCGAGGGCTATGAGCCGATGTTGGTCGACATAGCGTCCTTGTTCCTACTAATAGCGTCCTCTTGCTCCTAGTAGTAAGGCCAGGAGCCCCTAGTAGCGTCCTTGCTCCTAGTATCGATGCCAGGAGCCCCTAATAGCGTCCTTGTTACTAGAGTAATTTCTAGGCGACTCTATATTTGTGAATCTTTGTGAGAGGTGGCGATGGCGGAAGAAGAGGAAGTGCAAGAAAAATTGCAGGTGGAGCGGCCTTTTCTGTTTTCACATCGATTTGCTAGAGAGCCTTTCGAAAGAGTAGCTTTTAGCCTCCAAGCTACAGCTTTCAGGTCTCCAAGAAGCAAGCCGTGCAACTTGCTGGCCCAGGAGGTGTTGGACACTTAGAAGTCGTCTAGAACTCGTCAGACCGACCACCCGGAGTTCTGGACGCCACCTAGCGGCTGCATGGTCAGACTCAAATGAGTGAATGCACGACTTTCCCTCAGCCAAGGCTGGCCCTGCCTCCAAGATAGAGCAAAGGCCAGGGCTGGCCAGGGCTTGAGTCCTTTCTTTCAGGTTTTGGAACTTTTGGTCCATCAGTGGGGACAGACTTGGGACGCTTTATTTCCACTGGCTTGCTCCGCCTGCCATTTGTAATAATCACGGTCAAGCAATTTCGTTTGCAAGTAGGACTTAGGCAACATGATCACCCTGCTACACTTGATTTCTTTTGCCGAGGGATTCATCTCGGAACATGATGAAAGCTCCTTGCCAATATTATATGCCGAACAAGACCTTGAAACAGATTACTACCAAAGCCAAGACAAAGTCTGACAGCCTGAACTATTGAAAGCTACAATTGCAGTACTGTTGAATACTGGCAGTCTAATTGGTCGCTGTTTGCGACCGAGATGGGAGTGGGTCCAAGCTGTCAAGGTTACCCACAAGGTGGAAGTGTAGGAGCTTCCGGCCTGGAGGCTGAAGCACTCCTTCGATATCCACCAGCCAAATGGTCTGGCTGGGGATGCTCCCTGTCATGGCTTGGCAAGGCCCTGGGCTGTTGCAGAGAGGCTGAAAGCTGGGCTGATCTGCTTTTCTCCACTCGAGACGTCCCAGTGCAAAGCCTATGGCCCAACTGGGCTGGAGCATATATGCCTCCAGCTGTCCCTGGCCTTGGATTGAGCATTGCCCGCTACAACGTTGGAGGGTGTGGACGACCTGAGGAACAAACCGGTCATCCATATGGTGGAAGCAAGGTTAGAGGGTGGTTTGCCTTGATAGAAGGCTTCCAACCTATGGCAGGTGGTGAATTTGACTGGAGCAGAGATGAAGGACAAAGAAACTTTTTGCACTTGGCTGTTGAACGAGGAGTGGATCAGGTTGAGCTGTTCGCAAATGCACCAATGTGGTGGATGAGCAACAGTGGTTCCTCGTTCGGTGGTTCCCTGGCCCAGCCCGATGAGTTTGCGAGCTACTTGGGCGAGGTTGCATCACAGGCATGCAGTGGCTGGGGGGTGCCCGTCCGATCTGTGGCTCCTTTCAATGAACCATCAGCTGATTGGTGGATGTTTCCCCATGATCAAGAAGGATGTAAGGTCAGTGCTGCACAACAGGCCAGGGTTATAGCTAGACTTCGAGATGAGTTGGACCAAAGGGGGCTTAGTGATGTGGTTATTGCAGCCAGTGATGAGAATCGCCCCGATCAAGCGATTCGAACCTGGCAAGAGCTTGGTAGAGCAGATGTCGCTGGCGGGCCATCAGGAAGCTATGTCGGCTGTTTGAATGTGCACGCCTACGACGGCTTGGAACCTTGGTTGGAGTCACGCCACCGTGGTTATCGTTCAGCCTTACGAAGGCTTGCTACCCTAGCCAGGGTTCCCTTGTGCGTTTCGGAGCATGGCAATGGAGATAGCAATGGTGTCACCTTGGCCCAAGTGATTTTGGAGGACTTCCACTACCTACAACCAGCTTCGTGGTGCTATTGGCAACCAGTAGAACATCATTCAAGCTGGGGACTTGTTGAGGCTGACTTTGGTGACACACCCTCTCAGGAACCCCGAGCTGCAGACTTGCCCCACCCCAAATACTTCATTTTTGCTCACTTTACTCGCTTCATCAGACGTGGAATGATTATGCTGCATTGTTCGGAACCATGGGCAGCAGCCTCTTTTGCTCCTGAAGAGAACTCTTTGGCTGCCGTGATTTCAAATCCAAGTTCGGTGTTGAGCCGGCAGCGCCTTCGATTGCCTGCGTTTGTGCCTAAAGGCCGAGGGAGTGAGCGACGGCGAGTTCAGGCTGTTCTCACTGAACCACAACGTCGACGACTCTTTGTACCATGTGAAGTAGAGGTCCAAGAAGCTGCTGGTTGCTTGGAACTGCTTGTAGAGGTTCCTCCTAGAGCTATTTGCTCAGTCTTGTTGCCAAATGTCTCACTGATTGCAGGCAAGTCTTCAGTCCAAGAAAGCACCATGGGTGTGGATAGTCCTGCTCAAGCTGGCAAGCTACGAAAGCATAGCCATGATGCTGACATCGGTGTGACCGTCCAAATGATCTCTTCAATGGCCCGTGCAGCTGCTGAAGGTGCTGCATTGGAACGTTGGCTGGGGCAAGCAGATTTGCAAACGATGCGGTGCTGGTCCCGCTGGGAACACGAGTGTGGCTGTGCCGCTACAGCTTTAGATGCAATTCCACCAGCCATGCCACAAAACGAATCGGGCTTCAATGACTTGATGGAAGCTGTTTGCGCTGCTGCTTGGGGAGCAGCAAATGAGAGAAAGTTCGGTGCTGGGAACCTTGATGCCCAACAAGCATGGGACCGATTTGCAAGACACATGCAACAACTAGCTCAGCGTGCAGGCCTTTCTGATGACATAACTAATGATTTGAAATGGTATGTTTTCAATGTCTGCTGGATGATGGTGAACCTTCGTTGGTACGGGCCGTCAAGTACAGATCACAATGAGGCATCTGACAGGGCTGCCCACCATTTCCGGCAGCTTGGAGGTTCAGAAAGTGTGATCCTGCGACGCCGCGATGCCAAAAGCCTTGCTCGAGATGCTGCGAGCTCTTTAATCGAAGACCTTGGCTGATCACGACTTGAACCTGATGCACCGGAGTAACCACACCTGAAGGACATCGACTCAAGTCTTGGTTGAGCACAATGCCAAAGGCCTTCTGTGTTTGAAAGTTATTGGACTATTTAGCTTGCTGCACTGTGTCTGGCTCAGGTGCTGAGGTGACAGTGAAAGGCCCAAAGGCCAAAGTTGCCAAGGTTGGAACCCTTTTGTGTTTGCTTTCAGAGCGTGGCAACTCTTATATACTTTACTGCAACACTTCCCTTGCATTCACTTGGTGTTTCAATATGATTCCATTGGCAGGCAATGACCATGCTCAAAGTGTTGGTTGCTTTTAAAGAAGCGGCCTCCCCAGAGGCCGGCAGCCCGGATTCTGGGATAGGCCAGAATCGTAGTCCGTAGTACCTAACTAGCTCCTACAACTGAGTCACTTTGGTACAAGTAAAATTACATAGATCCACACAATTAAGCCCTCAAGATGCGGGCTTTTGATGTCTTTGTTTTTGAGATCTTTTGTTGTTCCTGTGTGGGTGAAGCAGTTGTATCTAGAAGTGCTTGCCTTGCTGGATTGCAGTCGGGCTCTAGCTTTCTGCAGCATTTTCCTGCGTTCAGATGAAAGAGCTCAACCAAAGCCCGCTGAACAGGTGAACAGCTGAAACTTTGCATCCAAATCATACGAAAACGCAGCAACACATTTCAACCTCAAACAACACAGTAACTTCGTATGTATACAGCTTTTGGAGTCATCGACTCCTTGTAATGGCATCCACTGATGGACTCAACTCTCGAAGTGAAAGTTGAACTTCCTCCTTTACCTTCTCCAAACAGGGCAATTCAAAGGCGACAGGAGGCTCTCGGCTGTGCAACCGTTCTGGGTGGAGCAACCTGTTTGGTTGCGGTCACCCACTTGGCTTCGAGCATTAGTGACCTGTCACAAGCCTTTGTTTGGACGTGTCGTGGGTGTATTTACACTGAAGCATTCCTGGCGATCTCTTTGTTGATATGCCTTTTGCTGGCAGATCCAGGAATTGTTCTTCGGACACCACAAACCTGTTGCCCAATTCCACCAGAAGTTCAAGAGGCGTTGCTCCAGGGAGAGCAAGTGCAAGCAAACGTGGTGGATGAGCAACGGACCTTTTGTGTGCGCTGTTTTGTTTGGCGATATCCAGAAATGCCAACTGCAGGCTTTCTCAATCCGCTTCTCTACAAATTGTCTGGTTTGCACAGAAAGCCGCATCACTGCAGCATTTGTCAGAGATGTGTCGCACACTTTGATCATCACTGTGGTGTCTTTGGTAGATGCATTGGTGGCGGGAATATAGGATTTTTCTACGGTCTTATTTTGATGTGGTTCTTGGGTATTTTGACTTCTGTCGTGACAGTTGTCTTGGCGTTCTTCTTGTCGGTGGATGAAATTCGTGAAAGGCCTGAGATTGTTGTCCCTGTTTGTGTTGTGCTGTTGTTGTACTGCTGCAAGCGACGTCTTTGGGCTCTATTGCGTATCCTCTTGCGGTGTTGTGGCAGCAGACTTTGTGAGCCACGGCAGCGCGATGCTGCTCCAGAAGCGCCCTCAGCTTAGGCCCTGGCCTCATCACCCCGTCGCTACCAAAAAAAGAGGGCAAAGCCACAGGTCGCAGGCCTGCGCTCCCTGAAGGGACGATACTTTCGCATTGAAGCGGATTCCTGCGCTCACAAGTTCCTGCTCTCGACTTGCAGTGAAGTGGTGCATACAAAAGGTCTCACAAGAGAGGACAGTGCTTGCCAGAAAGTAGCTGAATGTGAGATTCGGAGTCCAGGGGAGGCAAAATTCAACATCAAGCTCCTTAGGGCATCCCGGTCTCATATTGACATTGCTCCTTTTGCAAGTGCATTTGCTTCTCATGACTTTCACGCTGCTCCTGTGCTTTTAACATGAAAAACTAGCAGCAAGCGGGTGGCAGTTGCCGAGCCTTGGGGTGTAGCTGATGTCAACTGTAGCGGAGAGACACTGAGTGGAGACTTTCTCTCTTTGGAATGGAGGCTTTCACTCGCGACTTATGGGGTAGAAAGAACTTTTGTTTGATGCAGTTTCAACTTTATCATAGCATTTTCTTATGAATTCACCAAGTCTATTTGTCATGCAATCCCCCACTCATCTCGACCACACAGGCATACACCAGTACCCAAGGTGAGAACAAGCAACCCCGAGTCTATCAGCAACAGGTTCAAGTTTCAATAGTGAAATAGGTGTTGCGGTGCCTACAATTTGCTCAGTTCCCAGGAGCGTGGGCTTTGTCATTGGTTTGCCTGTGGCTTTTGCCGAGACGGCAGAGATGATGAAGATGGCTGTGAGGTGAAACAAAAACTGAGTTTGGTGTTTTGTTCTGCTTTTTGTGCTGAGAGATTTACAGCATTTTGTGGCTTTCAAGGCTGGTTTGCACTCCTCGAAGATTATTGCTGAAACTCAGGCCGTTTACCCTCAAACCTCTCCCTGCATTGAAGATGGATCATGCAGCAGTAGGTGGAAGTTCTGCTGAGTTCATACTTCTCTCTTTGCCTGCTAGGCTGCCTGGCTTGCCAAAGCTCCAAAGAACGAGGCCATCTCAAAGGCTTGGTTTGGTGGGAGGAAGTCAGCTCTTTTACAATCAATTTGAACATGACCTGCATCATTTCGATAATTGAAGTCAAAGAATCAGACTAGCCATGTTCCAGAAATCGGCACCGGCGGATACGTGGATATTGTAGCGGAATCAAGATCATGGTGTCAGTGATGAGCAGAGTGATTTCCCCTCAAAGCCAGAAGAAAGCAAGGTGCAAGCATTTGTGGTACCCCGGAGTAGCTGCACAAGTGGTTGGAAGATTTCTTCACCCTGTAGCTCCTTTTGTGCTTCTCTTCCTCCCCTCATTCTCGTTATTTTGATTGTCCTCCTTTCCAATGATTCAGATGGAAAAGAAGGTGCTGCAAGGCTTGTACGTTTCAACTTTATTCTTCGGCTTGTGCGATGCAAAAAAGGAATATTGCCGCGATGTGGTTGACTCTACTCTTGGTAGGCCCAGGACCCGAGGGTCCTTCTACACACACGAAACTGCGTTTGAGAGAACGTAGCAGGTGAACGCGCGGCCCTTGCTCCTCGTTGTGTCTTGCGGCGGTGCTGGGCCTCCAGTCCTTCCGTCAACTCCAGGAGAGGGTTGGGAGGCAAAAGCTTGGAACCTGAAACTGCGATTAGCGGACACAAGGGCATTGCTTTCCTTTTTTGACTCGTGCTTGTTGGTATTGGTTTTCTTTCGCAGGGGCTCCAGGGCTGGTGGGACCCCGTCCACAAGCTGGTGGGGGAATAGGCAGGACCAGCAGGGCTTTGCAGTGATGACTTGTGGAGAAGATGGTATATTATATATATACAGTACTTGTAGTATATCGTTGCATGCTGGGAGCACGTTTTAATTGTAGGCTGTCCAGAGGAGGATCTTCTCGAGCTGGCTTCTTAATTGTCCAACACGCCAAGAGCGCCACAGAGAAGTTACATCTGTTGCTTTTGGGTTTTAGGTTGTGCATGGTTGCCGTCGATTGGGAAGCTGGTGGTGAGGCCTTTCAGGGCTGGGCAGCGGGACTTGGCGTGTTGACAACTGGTAATCCAAAACCAAGTCACTCAAAGTCCAGCCTTGGTCCTAGGTGAGCCGCTTCCATCGTTTCATAAGGCACCTGTGACGCGGCCTGTTCACTTTGTTGTCTCTTCATTTTGTGCCTTGAATGAAGGCCAACAATGTGGGATCAACAAGATGCACACATGCGGGAGGCAGAGACCATTTTCAATTTGGGTAGGTCCAGCACTGAAACAACTTCGATGCTGTTGTGGTAGAGGCTAACCCAGCTGCTTGCTTCTCTGACAAGCCAGCAGCGCAATTCTCAGCTTCGGAGTTGTCGTAAACAGTGCAATTCAGTATCAGTATTTTTTCACGTCGAAGCTCAAGCCGGTGCGTCAGCCATTGAAGGGGTTGGGCAATGGCCAGTTCTGCACCAGATGGATCCGAGTCGCAAGCGAAGGCACCGGAGGCACTAGAGGCACCCACGCCCCAACACCGGGAACCTGAGTCCGTGGGGCCCGGAAAGACAGAGTTGGAGCACTTCAGCCAACTGCCCATTCGCAAAAGGACGGTCCCTGCTGAGCAGTGGGAGAAGGAAGTCTTGAAGCCACATCGCCGCTTCGTCACATTTTCCTACATTCCCTTGCACTGCTCACGACAAACAAAAGACAACATCATCATCGGAGTCCTTTTCTACAACTCTTGCAGTGAGAAGTCGCAGAAATCGCAGAATCGCGAAGAGTTTGTGAAATGGCGTTTGACAGATCTCGCGCAACCAGAGCCGCGCAACATCACTGTGCATTTGAGATGGCAAGCATGCTTGCACTGGCGCAAGCGCGAGCATGTGGCTGAGGCAAGCCGTGGATCCATGATGGCGATCCTGAACCCACAACTCATTGAGGCAGCAAACAAGATTGGCACCAGTGAGGCCCGGTTGCTGGTGGAGAATCCCAAACAAATCGAAAAATTGGGTGTATGTCCTATTCTGGGCTCCTGCAAAAAGAAGGGCTGTAATCTTCCATGCAATAGCTCACTTAACGAGACCTACTGCCGCCAGCACTTGGACCTTGCCAACAAATCCAAGTGCGAAGCCACAGCTGGTCGGGAAGACGAGACACAGCTGCTTGGCCTGAAGCGCCATGCGTCTGAGTCGTTGGCTGAAGCCAAAGTTGCTAAAACGGAGGATGCGCGATCCGCCGGTAAAGAAGTGGATTCAGTGGATGCAGCTGCAGAGACAAAGGCAAAGATGGCAAAGGAGCAGCTGGGACGCGCGAAGGAGGAGCAGCAGAAGAGGCTGGAGTTGGCCCTGCTTTTAGATGAAAGGCGGTTTCACACTGCGGAAGCCAACAAGAGCTATCAGAAGTTTGTACGCAAGGGGATGAAGAAGGAAGATGTCGCAATGTCTCGAGTGCCACAGCTGGGGCGTGGCTTCGATAGTTCCGGCTGCCTCGAAGTCGTTGTTCCTTCGTCCGCTCGTGCACCATGCACTTCCGAGACTCGACGGATTCCTGCAGAAAAAGGACAACTCTCAAGCAACAGCTGCAGACACATATTGCTAAATTACTGTAAGTGACAAATGAGTTTTCCAGTTGCAACCACCCTATTTTTGTAGCTCTGACTGTGTTTTTCTCAGGCAGTCCATTTTACCGATGCATTAGCAGATCTACTTGATTGGCTGCCCTTTGCTTAGCCAGCTCTTAAGTAATCGAACCATTTTACGTTTGCTTGCAGTTTGCACCACTCGGGTTTCCCAATGGACGAAAGCCGAAAAGCCGAAAACCGCATAGCATGTTCCAGCAGTCAGCTTGAGAGGCCCAGACTGCTGGGAGCACGGAGCCTGAACAAGAATGCTACAGAAAAACCTTGCGTGTTCACGTCACTATCCCAAACGTTTGCCGCTTACCGTTCAACTTATAGAATACCATGAAATATTATACAACCGAACTCAAACTCTTCAAACAAACAGAGATGTAATATCCTTTTTGAAAAAAAAGTTTGAAGCATCTGCCCCAAGGTTTCGATGGACGAGATGCGCACGGAAGACATTCTCTTCGTAAGCCCAAGGCCGCTGAGCCCAGCAAATCCGTTCAAGCAATGATTGTCCCGTTCATTTCTGCTTTCTTCAAAGGATTCTGTGTTTTTGCTTGGTATTTTCATGTTCATTGTCCATTTTGGGGGTTGCTTTTCCCGCTGTTCTCTTGTTTCATGCTGACAATGCAGGGACTTCGAAGTCCAGTCGCTGCTGCCGAGGCCATTAGCCAGAGTTGAGAGAGTATCTCAAAGGGCACAACACGTAACACATCGTAGCACTCGGAAATCTTTGGAAAGTAGAAGGCCTGCTGAAGTCTTGCCAGGCGCTGTTCCTTAAATGGAGCTGTGGATTACGGTTTACAGGCGCGGATATTGAACCGACGTGACGTATCATGTGACACACCGAACGTATACGTGAGATCACACATGTGACGAACCTGTAGATCCTGTGAGGATTTCTTCTTTCGACGCTGGTGCTGCTTGAAGGACTACTTTTCCGTCCTAGGTCACATGGATCATAACTGGCCAAGAGTGTTCCCAGGATGTTTTCCGAGAACATTTTGCATTGCCGAATGAGGCCGGGTACTTCCGTAGTTCAAACCTCAAAGGGCCTAGGACACCCTAAGACCACTGTTAGACTTCAGGATCTGTGGTTCAGTTGTTTTGAAAGAAACACATTCATTCATTGCGCATTATCAGATGAGAGGTTAAAAAGTTTCCATGGACCCTAAACTTCTAAGTGGCAACAGGCAGCTCCGAATGGCTTGAATGCCATGGCTCGGTATCTGGGGCTTCCTCCGAGTGACAAGGTGACGGGGTGTGATTTACTCAAGCTCGTTCCTTGAGTTACAATCGGCAAATCCCGCAGACCAGACGCACCTTTTGCTTGGACGAGAATGTGTCGGTGGTGCGAGTTGTCCTGGAGACTTTCTGACTGTTGAGTTGATCACACTGAACTTGAACTGAGTTCGTTCACTGTGCAGCTGGCAGAAACTTGGCATTTCTGGATCGTTGGCGCATTGCTAGGAGCTACTGAAAAAGGGCTGGAAGCCAAAAGCAACGGCATGGCGACATGCAGTGCTGACCTGAGACCATTGAACAAGGTAAACAAGCTTATCATATAATTGTATCCACTTCCTTTTTTGCAAGCTCCGAGCTTAAGATAAGATAGTGTTGACTTGAAGAGCTTCAAGCTTAAGATAGTGTTGACTTGAAAACACTGAGTGTTCAAAGGTTGGCGCCTCCACCACGTTCCTCCTTCCCAGACGCGGAGACCTCCCAGACATGGAGAGTCTTGGATCAAAGAATCTATGAACTGCGGTCCAACAGCACGTTATTGAGCTCTCTTTGGAGTGAGGCAAAACTCCAGAAAGCGAGGCTTTTGGGAGGTGGAGGCTTGGCACAGCCTCCATTCACCTCCATTTTTCGTCTATTCTTCAGTTCCTTCCTGTTTTTGAGCTTCTCCAAAAAGGTCTTGCTGGGCTCACTTCCTTCAGGCCCCACCTCCAGCGCCGATCATTCCCAAGCTGTTGCCACCTCAGCACAGATCGAAGCACCGAATCACGGCTAAGACGCAAAGAGTGCTTGGTCAGGCCGCCAACGGCGAAGATTATCGGCCACTTGCCAATTTGGTGGAACACATTGGAGAACAGTTCAAGCTAATTGTGCTTGAGCAACTAAAGATCAACTGGATCAACTTGTGTGAAGAGATGCTTCCATGGTCGTTTCAGTGAGGTGCTACAGCGAAAGTTGCCCCGAAGCCGATTCCACCGTGGCAAAGGCAAATCATGGAGCTGGTGTGCAAGAGTTTTATTAATATCTATTTTTTGCGTGAAGAGACTTGATAACTTTTCAGTGCAATTGTGTATATACATGAGCCTTGCAGGGCTGGACTGCCTGTGCCTCCACCGCCAGAGCCAGAGCCGGCAATGGCTGAGGCACAGGCAGAGCAAACACAAGAGCTGGAGCAGCCGGAGCCTGTTGAACAGACTGAGCTGGAAGCAGCACCGTTCATGGCAGAGCCAGTTGAACCTGTGGAATCGGTGGGGTTAGAAGCCATGGATTTCCTCGCAGAAATCTCTGCAGAGCTTCCAGCAGGGACCACCTTTGAAGCTGTCGACTAAAGGACTCAGAGCTAAGCTGCTATGCTGGCGAAATAGCTTCCTATGGCAGTTCGGATTTGAGAGCAGTATGCTTTTCGAATGGCATTTGCAAATCTGCTCATGTATCAAGGACCTTAAGTGGTGCCAATTTCTTCAGTTTCCGACACTTGAGCCGTGTGCTTCTGCAACCAATACACCAGCCTAATCAAAGGAAGTTTAGTTAAGAGACTTCCTTAGTTACGAGCAGTTACTGTAAATAGCGCAGGCAATAGTTAGTGCAGGTAATACGCAGTGCGGACAAATAGCTTGGTGTAGACAAATAGCTAAGTTTAAGAGTTAGCCGTTAGCGTAGACAGTAGCCAAGTGAAGTGCTAGCTAAGTCTACACATGCACTTTCAGTGGCCATGGGGCAATGTGGACGGTTTTTCATGTAAGGCGCTGTGCGAATCCATGCGTTTTCTTGAGAGAATGTGTGCGCCAACGGCTGTGAAAGCTAGCTGTTTGAGACGCTCCCTGCGGCGGTTCCAGCGTGGTTCCGCGGTTCCGGCGCGTGCTGCGTGGCAATCTGGCTCTTTGTTGCACAATGGAAGTTGCTACAGTGTCTAACTGTCGTCGAAAGTCAAGGTGGAAGTTGCCAAAGTGTGCAACTGTCTTCCAAAACCAAGGTGAATGGGGACAGTTGAATGTAAGCCTACGGTTGTGGCTCCGAATGATCAAACGCGGCCAGTAAACTGTTTGACCCACTACATGCACCGTTCTTTGTGTATCTCTTCGTGCAACCACGCGTGGCCCTGTTGCCTATGTCATAGAACTTGACATGAGTTTTGAGGCGCAATGTCTGCCGGATGACAGCTTGGAAGCTTCGAAGAAAACATGTCGTTGGATATGTGAGAACATTGCTGGTCCAAGCGAAATAGAAGGAAGGATCCGAGCCATCACTGTGGCCTTTGCAGCGCGGAAAAGTACATCTTCCTTTTGCATCTGGCTTTCTTTGACCCGAAGATGCATCATTTGGGCGGGTGCAGAAGCTGCACATGGACGAGTTGCAAACGTGTGAGATTCTTTTTGATTCTGATGGTACTGCAACATCCTGTTCGATTGGAACACTTTGAGAAAACATGCAAGATCAATATCTGCGCGTGGCCCTGTTGCTTGCGTGCATCCCGGAACTGGTTGAAAGAGACAGTTGGTGATCTAATCTTTTGTGCGCAGGGAGTGTCCTTGTTGACCGCACATGCAATCGTTGCAGAGGTCAGAAGCACCAGCTAAAGAACGTTCTTGGTTCAAAGCGACGAATGACATTCTCTATATACAGTTTTGATTGTAACTTGGAACATTCACCCTCGACTTGCCAAGATTACCTGTATACAATATAGAAGACAACACTGGCCAATGAAAACTGCGACACCGACCTGAGGCTATTTGTTTGCAGGCAAACGAAAAGATCACAACAGAGGGCATCATTGGCTACAACAATCATGACACAGACTCGTAGAGCTTCAGACCTTCACATGTTGTCATGTCCTGTCGTGCATTTCTGCAGAATATTGGGTCAACTTTTTAGCTGAGAGCACGGGCTGTGGGCCACGCTCTATGAGGTTGCTTGAACCGGCTGTTTGCAATAGAAAAATGTAAAATGAAACTGACAAAAACACAGGCAAGAGGTTCCAACAGAGAGATCATTTTGGAGGTTCAAGGAGGATGACCTCTCAGTACGAAAACATTTAAAGGCAGGGAACTGAAAGAAACTGAATGCCACAGATGGCCCAGCGGTCAAGTTGCCTTGTGCCAGTTGAGTTGGGGAGATCGTGGGTGGAATCGTAGAGTGCAGGTCTTTGTTGGAGGTTTGCCAGACTCGGCGGATGAAAGAGAGGCGTGAACACCGCACTGCACGATTGACTTTGAACGATGTGAGATGGATCGTTTTTTGCTGAGGTTGAGAGACATTTTGGGAAGCTAGGAACTCAGCCCAAGTTGACGTGATGCCCTGAATTCACAAGGCATTGTTAGGGATTTTCCCTCACGTGGCCAGAGTTCAAATGAAAAAAATATGTCACTCAGGTACGGGCACATTGTCCATTGCAATGTTTGCCCTCCCAAGGTGCAGACAGACTGAACGTGCCTAAATGCCGCCCTTGTTTCGTGAGAGGAAACACTGTGCACGGAACATATTTGGCAGAGTGTTTCGCAGGAAGGTGAGAAGAACAAGGCACCGTGAAAACCTCAGAAGGGGATGCTCGAGGTCAACAAATATGTGCGATGTGACAATGTGTGCTGTTAGTACGAGGTGACGAGTCTTTTGGTCAGGATCCTGACATTTCACTTCAGTTTGGTGCTCGAGGTATGCCTTCGTGAGCTTCAGATTTGCAGCTGATGCCGACTGTGCAGTAGTTGACACCCAAAACTTCCCAGGCATGAACCTGTTGATTCTTCCAACAGCAGATAGTGTTAAGCGCAAGAACTCAAACTAGTAACTAGTGTCCTGATGTTTCCTGTTTCCAAGTCTTGGTGCACAAGTGACAAATTCCATAAAGCCTAGGCCTAGTTTTGTATTCCGGCATCCGGGTGTGGCTTGCCTTGGCTGCCAATGTTGTGGAGGTAATGGCTTACTTACCCAAGACAAGTCGCATGATTGCTGAATTGCAGAGCTTTTGTAGTGGCCAGTTTGTGCAACTTTTTTGCAGTTCGCAACCTTTGTGGGCTCTTCTGTATGATTTGCAGTCGAGTCATACTTCCAAATACTGTGATTGCAGGGGTGCAGAGGCAACTTGCCATGGGGTTTGCAACACCAAGAAAAAAGGCAAGACCAGTGAGTGCTTTCAGCTTTGAATAGGGTGTACTTTCTGTGGCAAGAGCCATGCAATTTTTGAGCTTTGAACGTCATCCAAATCAGCATTCGGGCAGTTGTCAAGGATGAAGAGTTGAAGGAGAAGCAGGATTCTATGCTCAGCGATTCTGATCCCTGCAAGGCCTACCGGGACGCATGGGAGGTTCCAATATCTGCAATTTTGTGCTGGTTTGACACTCGGGTCAAGGTCTTTGTGGGTGGCATCAGTGATCGAGACGGCGAAGAGGAGGCCAAGAGCATCCATTTGCAGAGTGTCCTTGTAGGGTTTTATATAGGATATATATCTTAAATTTTGGATATATTTGTTCTTCGTCGTTGGTTCTGCAGCACTGTAGCATATCCAGGCGTTGTTGATGATTATTTAGAGCTTTTCAAACATTAAAGTAATGACTACAACCATGTCTTTGGATACACAAATGCAGGTTGGTGACTTCTTCTCCCAATGGGGTCTCGTCACGCTGATCTACAGGGACAAAGCCTCCTGGAACTCACCTCAAAAAGTCCAAACGAAGACGTTCGTAGTCCAAATGATGCAAGTAGCATCCTCACAGTCACGCTAAGGGGGTTCGTGCACTTCGCGACCAAAGAGGGTGCGATGCGCGTTCTCGAAGAGAGTGCGGGCCTGGGTTTGAATGAATTTCCTCAGCGAGTCAGCTTTGTGGTCTTTGCAGGCAGTATTACATTCCACAGAAGGAAGCTTGACATCAAGGCACCAGAGTAACCACAGGAGTAACTACTGAGCAGAAACTGAAACCTCTATGTTGAATAGATACGATAAGACGATAAGTTTAAGTGTTGATTCGAAATTGTTTGAGTCTCGCCAGAAAGCCTCGGAGTCGAAGAAGGTGATGAGCGACGATGAGAGGACGGAAGTGCTCTCATTTCCGAAAGATAGTATAGCTCGAACTGCTTGAGCCGTAACGTCTTGAACGTTTGAGGCATGTTTATGTGAAGAGGGCTATTGAAAGGCCAGCATCCTACAGTGTGACACGTAGCAATCATCCTGGAAACACATGACAAAGTTTTTGAAGGCATTTCCACAAGAAGACTGCGCCACCACATCCAGGCTGGACCACACTGGAAAACCTTGTTCATACCTGTAGATGCAAAATCGCAATGCCAGATCACAATGCGAGGCTACCCACCTGCAGGTGGTTACTATCCGTCCAGGACCCAAGCAAGCAGCAAAGATACGGGGCCCCTGTCATCGGTGATCGTAGATCATCATAGTGCAAAAGGATTCCATTGATCCCATCAGACACAATGGCCGAGTTCACGTTTTGTGCAGTATCCTGTAGTATCTCAGGCATGCGTTTTCAAGAATCGTTTTGCATCGTTTCGCCGTTTCAGCTTCAAAGGCCTCCTCCAGGCTACTATGGATCGCCACCACCAGGCAATGACTGCAACGAGCCCTGATATGGTCCGTGAGTCGTTTCTTGGGGTTGATGCAACGCAGGCTACCCTGGCTATCCTCCTCCTAGTTATCAACCACCAGGATATCCACCGTGTCTTGCTCAGATTGCGAGTTTGCGGTTTCGAGCTTACGCATCTCATGCTCTTTACGGACTTTACACATGCAGCAAAGGCCTAGCTATCCTGGAGGAGCATACGGATCACCGTTTCGCTCTAGATCACCCTTCCGCTCTAGATCACCGTTCCGCTCTAAGAGCCGATCTTTTGCCAGAAGAGGAACCACCGTTTGCTCATATTTCTCGGATGTTTTTCTGTTCTGCAAAAGTGTCTATGTTTGAATGTTTGCAGTTTTGCACGCCCAGAACATGTTCTTCGTTTGTCCTTCCAGGCCTCCAAGCGATCCATACGGTGCATCCAGGTGCCCTCCTTGATGCATGTCACGAAGTTGAGGTAGCAACGTTGCTGAGTGAAGACAAGTCATTCTGGACCAACTTTTTGCTTGCCACATGCCACTCTTAAGCTTTGAGAGCCCAGAAGATGTTCTATGTTTGTCCTTCCAGGCCTCCAAGCGATCCATACGGTGCATCCAGGTGCCCTCCTTGATGCATGTCACGAAGTTGAGGTAGCAACGTTGCTGAGTGAAGACAAGTCATTCTGTGCCAACTTTTTGCTTGCCACATGCCACTCTTAAGCTTTGAGAGCCCAGAGGATTTTCTATGTTTGTCTTTCCAGGCCTCCAAGCGATCCATACGGTGCGTCCTCATCTCAGAGCTGCTTTGTCCAGTTCAGGTGCCCTCCTTGATGCATGTTACGAAGTTGAGACATGCAGCAAAGGCCTAGCTATCCTGGAGGAGCATATGGAGCTCCGTTC